TCCCCACCAGAGGCAAGCCGTGAGCTAGCCGGTCCCCTCCATCCGCAGATCCCGGGGTCCTCCTGACCCTGCCCAGTGCAGCTCACCTGCACACTCCCCCAGCAAGCTGCCCTGCCCTTGCCCTGAACCACTGAGGCCCGGATCTCCACGTCGTGCCCATACCTGTAGGACCGTGCCTTGCCAGGTAAGGAAGGAAGCAAAGGAAAACCAAACAATAAAACCAGCATGGTGAAATTCAAAGAACTCTTCAGTACCCCCATCGACTCGTATTGCCTCCCTTACCACCACCACCAAAACAAACAGGTCAGCTAGGGCAAAAGTGGCTCAAGCATGGCAGCAGCCATTTGCTCATCGCTGCCAGGGGACTGGAGGAAGAGGGAGGTCTTTACGCAAAAAGCCCGACTGCCGCTCAGCGGGGCTCACTCTCATACAGTTTGGGATGGACACTATTTAGGTGTTCTGAGGACATGGCATTTTTGTCCTTGAAATTGGAGGACACGCAATGACTGTAAAACAATGAGTAACGCAGTAACATCTTTATTAAGCCAGTATTTTATCCGTTTTCACGAACGCTTTCTCTACTAGGTACTCTTCTTGTAAGATATTATTACAATAGTAAAACATGCGAAAGCTGAATTTTCCTAAAGCAGAAAGCTATCAGAGAAGGCAAAATTTACGCATTCTCCACCAATGGAGAGTGAGACGCCCTGGTGGAGTAGCGGGCTGTGCGCTGTGTGGCTAACTGCAAAGCTAGCTGCTGGACAAACCACCAGCTCCACTGGAGACGGGCTTTCTACTCCTGCAAAGATTGAGAGACGCAGAAACTCACCGGGCAGTTCTGCTCTGTCCTCTAGGGTCCCTATGAGTCAGACCTGACCCGGTGGCAGTGAGTTTTCTTGATCCTGGAGAGTGATAGAAGAGTGGCAATCCTGCACCTTCAGTGGCAGAAGGTGTTTTGCACATGGAAAAACAAAGCAGTTACTTCGATTCCTGCCTGGTGTTACTGCACTGTTAGGAGTATTACCTCTTGTCAGTTGAAGGAACAGTGCTTCCAAGAAGCTATGAAATATGCACGATGTCTCCGCAGTTTTTCAGTCCCCATCTTCTTAGTGCAGCGATAGTGTTCAACACAGGGATGTCCTTCCTACTCTATGGTGAAAATTAGTGGGGAGAACAGTCGTTTCCAAATCTAGCGAGGGATTAGTTCGTAATTTGTTCACTTTGCACAGGAAACGAAAATATTAACAAAGTTATTTACAGGCTTCATTTTTCCACATATTTAAGCTACTTGACTTAAGTATTCAGCACCATTACATTCTTCAAAGAGCCCTGATGGCACTGTGGGTTAAGCATTAGGCTCTCAAACTCAAGTTTGGAAGTTTAAACTCACCAACCGATGTGAGGGAGACAAAGAAAGCTAACTCCTCCCTTTAAGATTTCCAGTCTTGGAAATTCTGTGTAGAGTAGCTCTGGGTTGGAGTCGATTTGATGGCAGTGGGTTTTAAGTATAAATTACTAAAAATCAAGAGGACACATCCCTTAAAGCGTTTTCTCTATGTCTGTCACATAAGGTCGTAGGAATCAGTGGGGGAGGAGTCCTGGTGGCACTGTGGCTGAGGCACTTGGACGTTCCTTGGAGAAAGATGAGGCTGTCTGTTCCCATGAAGATTTACAGCCTCACTGTCTTGTCAGAGTAAGCCTCTGGCAGATCCCCTCTAGCCAGAGGCAAGGGAATCAAACAGTTTTATCACCAGACAGAGACTATTTTAAACGTGATTATGGTGGATTGAACCATGGTTTAATATGATACTTGGTGAGTTGACCTCCCTCTTGACTCAACCTGAATTTTCTCACCTGTTACAGCATTTCTTCTCCAGCCTTTTAAATATCGATTGTGCTCTTTTCTTTATTATGCTCTATTTGTATTTTTATCTTTGTATTATTATTATTAATACATCTTCTTGCCATTTTGTTTTGTTTTGTTTTCGTTTCATCTTGTTCATGTTAGATTTCACAGTTTGTGGAGCACCGAAGAGTGGGTGCATAGACAATAACTGATGCTATGCGATATAGGGGATGTGGAGGGAGGATCAGGGGTGGAGAGGGTGAGGAGATTGGGGAGCAAACAATAAATGCAGGAAGGGGAAGGGATTACTTGAATTGACTGTTCAACTCCTTTCGAAAGTGATTTAACTATGGAAATATATGAAAGTGATTATTATGTCAAGAAACAAGTGAATATTATATTAAAAAACTACTGCTAAAAAAACAGCAAAAAACTTCAAACTTGACCAATGGTTACCATGGATAAAGGAGAAAGAGTTGTTGCTTAGCGAGCATTGAGTTTATGTTCATGGTGGTGGGATAATTTGGAAAAGAATATCAATAATGGTTGTACAACATGAAAAGGATAATCAACGACACTGAATCATACAAGTAGAAGTTGAATTGGAGAATGTTTTCTTGTGTGTATTTTTGTTACAATTAGAGAAAGAATATTTACATGAATAACAATGAGTACAAAGAAAAATAATAAGTTCTAGAATTGACTGCGGTTATAATTGTACAACTCTTCTTGATATGATTGAATTCTTAAATTGTATGACATGTGGATGAAACACTAATAAAACTGTTTTAAAAAAAAGATTTCCAGTCTCAGAAATCCTATACAGGCCTCACTCTGTGTTGGCATTGACGCCACGGTAGTGGTTTGGGTTGGGTTATAAAATTATCCAGACTTCGAATAGGCTTTCAGGGTAAGCCTGGTCAGTTTCTTTTCATTTCCTAGCTCAGTGGATGTCCATTGTGTGTACAAATGAGTGGTAGGAGATGAGAAGAGAAAATATGTCCCTTAAGGGAACAGCAAGTGATCTAAAATCAATGGCGAGGAGGGTGTAGGATGCCTGGTAGGGCTTAATCAAAGGCAAAGAAACTGAAAGGAATTACTGAAACTCGAATGAAGGCCAAACATGATTGGGGGACGAGATGAAAGTAAAAGGAAATAGAGGAAAGAACTAAGAGGCAAAGGGTATTATGGAGGTCTAAATTCAGGCATGTAAATATGTTTATATATAATGACAGAGAAATAGATCTATGTGGATATATTTACATGTTAAGTATCAAGGTAGCAGATGGACATTGGGTCTCCACTCAAGTACTCCCTCAATGCAAAACACTTTGCTATAATAACCTAGCATTCCATGATGCTCACCTTCCTGACACTATCACTGAAGATTAAATGGGGGCATTGCAAATGTGGTGAAGAAAGCTGATGGTGCCCAGCTATCAAAAGATATAGTGTCTGGGGTCTTAAAGGCTTGAACATAAACAAGCGGCCATCTAGCTGAGAAGCAAAAAAG